TATGTTTTTTTCTGTAAATGTATTTTGTTTATTAATAATGTACACACAGAAAAAAAATATTAGGGTGGGGTAGAAAAAAATATTCAAAACGCTCCGGGGAAAACCTTGAGTTTTCCCTGAGGTACGTTTATTGTCTTCTCTGGGGATGGGGGTCCCCATTCCAGCTATAGGGGGTGGTACTTCCCTTTATAAAATATATATATATGTCGGCGAATATGTAAAACTGGTCATTTGCAAGAACTCATTAAAATTGCTTTTCTAAAATTTTCTCTTATACGTTTAAAGATATATATTTTTCATTAATGTTAATGTAAAAATTTTATAATTTTGCACCAAAAGTAACTTAGAAAACTTACCTAACCTTATTATAACAAGAACAATTTATTTTAGCCTAACCCAACTTTAAAAATATTTTAGATTTGTTTTTCAATAATTTAATACTAAACAAACACAGTGAAATATATTTTTTTCGTTAGGTTCAGAATGATTTTGCGAAATTATTGCATACACAAATTTTAATTTGTCCTATATGGCAAGATGACGTTGCTATTTAAAACCCCGATAGCAAGTTCTGCCTATCGGCACGACATATATATATATAATTTTACATATATATATATATATATATATATATATATTATATATATATTTATATATTATATATTTTATATTTTATATATACTTAGAGTGAGAGAGAGAGAGAGTGAGTGAGGAGTGAGGAGAGAAAAGAGAAGGGGAGAGGAGAGAGAGAGAGAGAGAGAGAGAGAGAGAAGGGGGAGAGAGAGAGAAAACCAGCCAGTTCTTCTCTGAGAGGAACTGGCTGGCGTCACCACGCTACCTCACTCTGAGGAAGCTTCCTCTCATTCCACCTGCTGCTGCTCTTGCAACACTGCATAGCTCCTGATTATGCACGAAGATGTCTGAAAGATCTTGTGCTGAAGATTTCCATTCTCCCCTGTGGCTTGATACATAGAACAAAGGGGTTAATAAAGTGGCTGGGTTCTCTCCAATCCATCTCTATACCCCCAGCAGAGTGACATGGCTGAAGTCATCCTGACGTCATTCTTCTCTTTTATTTCCCAGGTCCAAGGACTAGGCGAATCAAGAAAAGAGATAAAAAGGATGAAAAGCGACCCAGAACAGCATTCACCTCAGACCAGCTGGCCAGACTCAAAAAAGAATTCCAAGAGAACAGGTTAGTATTGTAACCACGAACGAGTGGTATTTAATCAATAACAACACTGCGACTAGCCGGGGGATCGAACCCGTATTGTTTTACCCCGCCACATGGTGAGCGAAAATTCACGACGCTGTAACCGGTTAGAGCGTCGTGAATTTTCGCTCACCATGTGGCGGGCTAGAACAACACGGGTTCGATCCCCTGGCTAGTCGCAGTGTTGTTATATGCTTCCTTGCTGTCTTTCTCTAGTTGTCAAGATTCAGTAGTGATGTATCAAGCCATAACCTAACATACAGACTCCAGGGCTCTGCACTTCCCACCTACAAATCTCAAGCCTAGGAAACTGATTTTCTTAAATATCTTCGTAGATGTTCACATTCGATATCAGACACATGTGCAACACTTGGGTATCTTTATTGAGGAAACGTTTCGCCACATAGTGGCTTCATCAGTCCATACAAAGAAGAATGGTGAAGATCAGAATGAGTTTGAGGTAATCAGTACATCAACATGGAGTCGATGTAATCAATCCGTCAGTCTTTTCAATCTTTAAAAGATTGATGGATTGATTACATCGACTCCAGGCTGAGGGACTGATTACCTCAAACTCCTGATCTTCACCATTCTCCTTTGTATGGACTGATGAAGCCACTGTGTGGCGAAACGTTTCCTCAATAAAGATACCCAAGTGTTGCACATGTGTCTAATTTATCAAGAGTTCAGCTCAAATTATCAACTTGTCGGTATTTTATACCATTTGCAACCCGCCTAAAGTTCTCTGAAGCAGGTAAAGGGCTCTTCATCCAAGGAACTGGAGCTACCGTTCCCATTTCTTAGATCACATCTGATTGCCTCCAATTCTCCTAGTGGTATATGACCCTTCTGGGTTTAGTTTTTCTCCATGACAACACACTGTAGTACCTTCTTACTGTGTGGTTCAACTTCTGGTTCTTCCTTCACCAAAAAAAAAAAAAAAAATTCACGCCTCGCTGCCTCATATAATTCGTGCCTTTGTTTCATCATTAATATTCAGTATCTTCCCAAACTGTTCTTTGTATCTCTCTCATTCTCAGAACACAATAAGGTCCACTGCAGCAGCTTTGTTGAAAATAGTTGAAAATACCGACAAGCTGAAGATTAAAACACATGTGCAACAGCTGGGTATCCGTATTGATGTTTCGTGATGAATGGTTTTGAAAACCGACAAGTTGAAGATTGAGACACTTATGCTAAATATGGGAATCTTTATTCAGGAAACGTATCGGCACACAGTGGCTTCACCAGTCCAATACAAAGTAGAAAATTTTAAGGAGAGGAGGAGTTTGAGGTAATCAGTCCCTCAGCCTGGAGTCGATGTGTTCAGTCCATCAATCTTGTACATTGTACAGCATAGGGCCGTAGACGTGGCTTATATACTGTAGTCTGGTGAGGCGAAGCAGGAGAAGGCGGGGTCATAGTGGTACCATCCACTAGTCGAAGTAGGTCTTTGTCCCTCAGGCTGAGGGACTGATTACCTCAAACTCCTCCTCTCCTTACACCTTTCTGCTTTGTATTGGACTGATGAAGCCACTGTATGGCGAAACTTTTCCTTAATAAACATTCCCATAATTGCATAAGTGTCTCAATCTTCATGAAATGTTTCGTTCCAGACCATGGAGCTCAACTCTTCTCCAGGCTGAGGGACTGACCACCTCAAATACTTTTTCTCCAAGGTTGATGGACTGATTACATCACCTTTATATCATTACTACTGCAAAAATATTTGCCCAGCCCATTTTCAGTGTTTCCCGAGAAATAAGTTTTGATAAACCTATTAACACATGTAAAGTCCCTTTCCCTATCCAGAACCTCCTCACTTTCCTTCATAAACATCTACTCTCTGTTTTCAGGTTTCTGTCACCTTGTTGGTGAAATTCTTTCTGTTAAGGGGCACGAAAGTTCCGCCGTCTTCTAATAACAAGTTAATTTTTCCACTATAATCTACCTTGTCCACAATTACCATCGCATTTGCTTTGTCTGTTTCGTAAGGCGAAGTCCAGGATCTTTCCAGAATCTTTGATGACAATTGTGATGCAGAGGTTTGAGCTGTCATCAGACCTCTACAACACTATTATCATCAAATATTTGTAAAGTTATACCATGAATTCTGGAAAGATCCAAGACTTCACTTGACGAAAAAGACAAAGCAAATGAAATGGTAATTATGTTATTAGAAGAAGGGATAACTTACGTGCCTCTTAAGCCGTCTCTTCTCCGTATACTCCCTCATCCTCGTCATGTTTACATTGTAAATTTTTTCACATGTGACTATTTTCCAGAAGGTTTTATCACATCGTTCCAGCCATCATTCCACGAGTATATTATACTATATTGAAGAATTAGACACTTGTGCAACATATGGGAATCTTTACTGAGGAAACGTTTCGCCACACAGTGGCTTCATCAGTCCAATACAAAGAAGAACGGTGTAAAGTGAGGAGTAGTTTGAGGTAAACAGTCCCTGAGCCTGGAGTCGATGTGTTAAATCCATCAATCTTCAAGATGATGGACTGAACATCAAACGTTTCGCCACTATGTGGCGAAATGGAGGATCAATCCTTCGTTAAGGGGGAGTAGCCATCATTTGCGGGAGGCCTAGTATAAAAATCGAAAAAAAAAATTCGGGATACGAGTTAAGCTTACCAAAACATAGTTCCTAAATCTAGCAACCTTCTGGTGTATGTCTCATCTCTGTACGATAATTCTAACTGGAGTCACAATTATAATAAATGAGGTGAATATCAAAATGGTATACAATACCGACAGGATGATAAAACACATGTGCAACAGTTAGGTTTCTTTATGCCGAAACGTTTTGCCTACATAGCAGGCTTCTTCAGTCGAGTACAGAAGAGTGAGCAGAAGCACTAGAGATGTAAAGGCGATGTCATGAGTCCATGACATCGTCTTTCCGTATAGGCCTATCCTTGGAGACGTAGTCTCCAAAGGTAAGCCTATACGTAAACATCTAACAATTCTTAAATTCACATCACACCTCGCCAACTCTTACGACTTTCACGTAGCCGACGTTTCTTTCCTTAGCCGCTCATATTTCCCACTAACGTCCTCTTCTTTAATTCATTCAGTTCCACTTCTCTTTTACCCACTGACGTCCTCCTCCTACTCTCTCTTCCTCCTTTTCTTACTCAACCAATGATCAACGACCTGACATCACTCCCTCTACTCAGATGTGAAACACATGAGTGCATCTCCGAGGATGTTTTGTGAACTAGCGGCTTTTTCAGTCCAGTGCAGAGATTTTATGCTGGAGACAGTGGAAGAAATGGACTGAAAACAGCCAGTGGATTGGCGAAACATTTTCATAATGAAGACACCCAGGTGTTGCACAGGTGTTGTACATGTCTTACTCATCAAGTTGTGGGTACTGTGTCCCAATGCTGTGCTTGTACTGTTCTGAAGGTGTTGGTCTCCCCTCAGGTACCTGACGGAGAAGCGACGGCAAGACCTGGCCAGAGACCTGGGCCTCAATGAAAGCCAGATCAAAATCTGGTTCCAAAACAAACGGGCCAAGATAAAAAAGGTGAACTCTCGTTTGTGTTTTTTCCCCTCTATCCCAATTTCTTAAGATTCAGCTTATACTCAGAGGCATTGTTTGAAGTGTCAGATTCTCCATTGTGTTGTTTGTATGGAGCTGATGCACATTTCTTCCTTCGGTGATGGTTTATGGGTTAATTTCTCTTCTTTAAGTAACGTTTACGTAGTTTTTCAAACATTCAAGTTGCCACAAACATAAGCATTTCTTAATATGCCAGCCGTAGTTTACCCATACTGGTGTAGTACGGCTGTAATGTATACTATGCCCATACCCCATTACCATTGTCAGTAACGAGTAGGCGACCCATGCCTACCTCTGATCAAGTTTTTGGCCCTATCCCAGCAGGCCAAGGGCCAGGCCAACCCACTGGCGCTGCAGCTGATGGCGCAGGGCCTCTACAACCACTCCACCATACCCATCAGAGAGGAAGATGAAGACAAGCTCCTGCCTCCTGTATGATCATCGCTCCTCGGCGGTGTAGGGGATCCTCTCCGCCACCACCACCAGTTCTTCAGCCGCCATAACCAGGACCGCTGAGGCAGGGAGATGCAACTCTTGCAACTTCTGCTCCTGGGACTTACACGCCGACCTCCTTCCACCACAGCTGGCGAGATCACTAGGGCATCGACACATCCTTGGTACAACTAGCTCTTTGTACCAGAACGACCATTTTGTCGTTACTGACGATTCCCTTTTCAGACTCGATATGAATCGTCTCCGACACTGAGTTCATCCGATTCGAAGAGTAAGATGATCTAACCCCAATCTCGACTTCATTGGCCTCTTAAAGTGATTAGAATTTGTGAGCTCTCACCCCTTGTTCCTTACTGCCAGTTCATGGTTGACTCTCCTACACCACAAATCTATTACCACGTACATACTTCTGATCTTCCAGACTCATTCTTATCCTTTTGTATGTTTACGTTCCTGATGTTGAGCGTAAAATAATGTACACACACACACACACACACACACACACACACACATCTCTTGTGCATTTACGGATACTGTTTTCTAGTCCTGATCAGCACTATCCAACCAGAAATTATTTTGATTAGAGATGTCCTCAGGTACATCCCCCTTATAAATACTTAACTTCGCTTTCCACACAGGGACATGACTTAAATTGACGGACATCACTTACAAGCTTAATCTGCCACTTTCTACTTGTCAGGGCAAGATATGCGACTTTCCAGCCACAGACACCACTCTTCCAGACAGGAACACAAATATCCAGTCACGGATATAGGTTCTCACAACCGACGGCACTTTTTATCCTGCTCACAGACATCCGGAAGGATAATCGGTAGAAGGGGCAGTGAAAAATAGTGATGAAAATCTAGTGCAGTGTAGCAATCAGGGAAAATAAATAACGGTGAAATTTTAATGACACAAAATGCAAAGTATTTTGAAAAAAGTATGAACATAAGGAAAAATAATGAGAATATAAAGTGTTGATGCTAATGCAGTGATTTGAAATAGTGAAGATTAGAGGTTGTGCGACGTACTGGCGTTGACAATGTTAAAACAATTACTGACGTATGAAACTGTAAAGAGAGAGTATCCAGGTGGACTTCACTCTGAGAGCAGAAGACGTAAAGGAAAACAGTGGAAAAGTTTCTGTCTCCTTGCGATACATCGCCTGATGTTAGAGAAAGAGAGAGAGAGAGAGAGAGAGAGAGAGAGAGAGAGAGAGAGAGAGAGAGAGAGAGAGACAGACAGACAGACAGAGAGACAGAGTAGCATCTATAAACTATCCGAGGAGCTTTGGTAAGGTGGAAGTTACTCATTCACTTTCTTTCAAATTTTTAATTTGCCCTCTTTGCTGCCCTTCCTCATTTCCTCTCTTAAAGTCCCTCCTTTCACTTCTTCCTTCACTCCTTTATTCTCTCCTCCACTCCTTTACTCTCCTCCCCGCTTTCCCCCTCCTCCCTCTCTCTGTCTCTGTCTCCCCAGGACACTGGTGTCAGGCAGTGTGAGTGAGCGCGGGTGTTCCACACTAAGTGAACGTGCCGAGAATGCTCCTCTTAACGTTCCACCACTCTCTCTGGGGAATTCTGTGGCTGCGTTCCCGAATATTTTGGAAACGCTGAATGCCACAGCCATTCCCACCACCATGAATTCCTCGTGGCTTTCCGAACGTTTGGGCGAACGCCACAGCCTGTTTCCGAGCGACTCAACAAGAACCATGGTAAGACGAAGACACTGTGATCCAACTTTCGGTCAGTTTGGAAGACAATTGTGACGGTCGAAACAGTGCGCTATAGAGAAAAGTAAACGACGTTTCTTAATATTATTTTTCTTGTCTAAGAAGCGTTAACTACTATTGTAACTACTACTATTACTGCAACTCTCATCACAACCATGTTCAAGATACGAACATGTTGTTCTGTACATTGCCAAGTGTTCTCTCCCCCCCCCTTTTTTTAGAATAATTTATGTTGTATTTATAGAGGAGGGGATCTTTCTCCCTTAATTTATATAGGAAGGGATCTTCTCCTGATACCCCCTCCCCACAGCATTGCAATCTCCTCCTCCCGACCACTCTCCCCCTCTCCTTCCCCACCTCCCTACATACATTATCTCAGGTGCCACTATTCTTCCTCAATTCGATATCCTCTTCATGTCTGTAAAACTCAAAGAAATTATGTAGACACGACGGACGTCATTTTACATACAGGTGAACAGGTGTACATATATCCACGTACATGCTTACAAAATTAAAAATACACTTACACGTACATAATAATATATATAAAAAGTTACTCTGGATTTTCACATAATATATATATATATATATATATATATATATATATATTATATATATATATATATATATATATATATATATATATATATATATATATATATATATATATATATAAATCATTAGACGCGTGTGTGTTTCTACCTTCGTATTCTCCCAAGTATCTGATCCAGATTTCTTCTTATACAGAATATTAGTATATAATACTTATAAATAATACTAATGTGAGACCTTTACATCTGTCCGTATTAATTGCCTTTTTGTATATTCTGGTACCGTGTCTGTATTTCTGGTACCGTGTCCGTATTTCTGGTACCGTGTCCGTATTTCTGGTACCGTGTCCGTATTTCTGACAGCTCCGTAATGTTTCTATAATATTCCGTCTGCGGCTGCAAATACTCTCACGAAATATCATGAATACCGGCAGATATTCCCACTGGATCTATTACTAGAAAATACTTTTATTAGCAGAGGCTTTGTTTACATATTATACCTTAAGAAAGTATTTATCGAAAGATAAGATACCGTGGACGTTGTCTTGAGACGGTGGAAGGTAGTGGCGAGGGAGCACCCGACCTACCGTAGGAAGGACACGTAAATGAGCACTGTGTTCCGAAGTCTGGCGTTGCCCAGCCTGGCGAAGGTGCAAGAGGCTTGTGCTGTTTTCTGATCAGGAGTTGAGCGCTTCTTCGCTACACTTGTTCCATTGTTCCAGTTATCTAGAGCTAACACTTGTTTCATTGTTCCACAGTCGTCCAAAGCTTCAACGTGCTCCACTGTTCCAGTCATCCAGAGGTAACACGTGTTCCAGTCATCTACAGTCAACATTCGTTCCATTGTTCCAGTCATCCGAAGTCAACACTTGTTCCATTGTTCCAGTCATCCAGAGTCAACATTCGTTCCATTGTTCCAATCATCCTAAGCTAACACTTGTTCCATTGTTCCAGTCATCCAGAGTCAACATTCGTTCCATCGTTCCAGGCATCCAAAGTCAACACTTGTTCCACTGTTACAGTCTTCTAGAGTCAACACTTCTGTCACCACAGCCAAAACTACACAATACTACCAGCACTACCACTCCTACTACTATTACAACAAAAACTACTACTGCTACTACAACTACTATTACTACTACTACTAATAATAATAATTCACTACCACTACTACCACAACACACCTGTGCTCTCTCTTCCACCACCAGTACATAACTGACTCCTGGTCTACATAGCCCCTGCTACCCCATCCCACTTCCTAACCCCCTACAACTACCTCCCATTCCAAAATATAACCCTTCCACAGCATACCCTTCCACCCTCAACAATCCACACCCCGTCAGCCACCTACTCCCTACCCCTTAACGACCCTCGTCAACGCCCTACCCCTTCCCCTCAACTCCCCCCTCGAGGGTCTAACCCCTCCCCACAAGGGCGTCGCAACAGAGCCCAAACAACGACAAATAAAATGTAAATATCTGTCATACTGACTTTTCCTCTCCCCCCAAAAAAAGGCAAACAATGATTGTCTTCTTATAATATATATTAAAATGAAAAGTAACAACAGACTCTTGCCTTTTCTTTACCTAAAATTAAAAGTAACAACAGACTCTTGCCTTTTCTTTACCTAAAATGAAAAGTAACAACAGACTCTTGCCTTTTCTTTACCTAAAATGGCTACGCTTGAGTCCAAGAAGCCATTTTTTTGTCATATGAAGCGTTAAACTCGTGAGGGTCGGTATTGGTGAAGGCTCGATCCTCCGTCACCAGGAGAGACTCGTGGTGGTTCAAGGATTATTATATTCAGTGCCTGGGGTTTAATCATGGAAGAGGAGGGAGGACAGCTCCAATTTCCTGGATCAAGAGCGCTTCACCAGCATTAAAACACCCTCCTTGAAGGGACGAAACGTGTGGCCAAGTGCTTTACCATATACACTGTGGGTGAAACCTCGTTTTAACCTGTAAATTAGCTGAGATAAGATAACAGCTCGTAGTAAACGAGCGGAAGTAAGATAACAGCTCTTAGTAAATGAACTGAGGTAAGATAACAGCTCTTGGTCCGTAAATTCAACTGTAGGAAGCAATAGAAGTTACAAAGAGTTTTGACGTGTAATAAGTGCTAAACCCGTACTGGTCATTCAGGATCAGGAGTGAAGGCTCGATCCTCTGTCCAGCGAGTGATCTTTGGCAATAGAGTGAAATACAACGATACTGACACTAAATGTAAAAAAAAAAAAAAAGATAGCGTCAAAAATACAGAAAAAAAGTACAAAAAAGTCAATATAAAAAAAAGATAAAAGTCAAGAAATAGGAAAAAATACAAAAAAAGTTAAGAAAGAAAACAAGATAAAAAAAAAGGGCAATAGAAAGAAAAAGATAAACAAAAAGTCAAGAAATAGAAAAATACAAAAAAAAAATCAATATAAAAAAGATAAAAAAAAAGAATATATTAAAAAGATAAAAAAAAGTATAGAAAGACGAAAAGTTATAAAATCAATGTAAAAAATTAAAAAGTCAAGAAATAGATAAAAAAAAAGTCTAGAAATATAAATATAAAAAAAGTCAAGAAACATAAAATAAGATAAAGTCAAGAAATATAAAAATAAAAAAGGTCAGAAAAATATATAAAAAAGCCAATAAATATAAAAAAGTAAAGAAAATATAAAAAAAGATCAAGAAATATGAAAAAGTAAAAAAAAAAATATATATAAATATAAAGAAGAAAAATCAAGAAATATAAAAATGATAAAAAAAAAAGTCGAGAAATATAGAAAAGATAAAGTCAAGAAATTTCAAAAAGGAAAAAAAAAAAGCCAAGAAATATGAAAAAAAAGAGTTAAACATAAAATAGATAAATAAAAAATCAGAAGATAAAAATCGAGAATCAGTAAAAACAAAAAGTTTAAAAAAAAAAGATAAAAAAAAAAATACTGAAAAGAGATATAGAAAAGTCAATAGAAAAATATTTAGAACAATGTTAAAAAATATAAAAATAAAAGAAAATAAGAAAATGAAAAAAAGGTAAACTAAGATAAACGATAGAAACGCGAACGAATTTTTTTTTTTTGACAAACTCATAAAAAAAAAGTTTAATTTTGAAAAATTTGCTTACAAATTTTAAATCGTAAAAAAAAAAATAGATTTTACCGCTAAAAATAAAATGTCTTATGAAAAAAAAGTTTGAAGCCAATCAGAAGATGCATTATCAAGATATTAACAAAACTTAGAGGAAAAAAAATCAGGAGAGTATTTTAACAGCAAAAAAATGTAACTCCAAAAATGTAACTGCAAAAATGTAACTGCAAAAATGTAACTGCAAAAATGTAACTGCAGACCCTGGAATATAACCACATGAGAATATAATAAGAACCCACTAAACTGGTTAAACTATAAAACTCTCTTAAAACTCGAGTTCTCAAAAGTTCCCAGTTTTATGATAACTACTGAAAATGCTCTACAATCCTATCAGAAAAAAAATATACTTGATTGCAGGGGTGCGGTGGGCACAATAAGGGAACACTGTATCAACATCCATGGCTCCAGATTATTGAACATCTTACCAGAAACACCGACGGGCCAAGTGTACAAGTCAAGAGAAAACTGGACAAATGTCTTCACCAGGTGCCAGATCAACCAGGCTGTGATGGGTATGTGGGTCAGCAGGCCACCAGAAGTAACACCCTGGTTGACCAAGCTAGTACCAGACGAGCCTGGCCCATGGCCGGGCTCCGGATGTAGACTCTCGAAACTTATGAAAGGTAAGGTATAAGTATGTTGTTATTGTGTAGTGGAATGTTCACGGCTTCTCTGAGGTAAGAACATAAGAAAGAAGGAGCACTGCAACAGGCCTACTGACCCATGCGGAGCAGGTCCATGTCCCCCACCGGATTAGCCCAATGACCCACCCAATCTGGTCACCTCCACTCAAGGAAGGAGCACGGCACCAGACCCAGCAGCACAAGCTAGTCAGGTCCAACTCACACCCACCCACACCCACTTATGTATTTATCTAACCTATTTTTAAAACCACACAACGTTTTAGCCTCAATAACTGTACTCGGGAGTTTGTTCCACTCATCCACAACTCTATTACCAAACCAGTGCTTTCCTATATCCTTCAAGGACAAGGACAGCTGGAGGGTAGAACTCAAATCTTGCAAACTGCCACCTGTAACGCCCAGTGTCAACCCAAAAGAAATCGATGAACGCTGACGGTTTCAAATCGATCGCACTAAGCATTCAAGTCACGGAATAGGTGTGGGTGGGTCAAACCCCAAGCGTTCCGTGATTTGCTTGCAATTGTGTTATTACGATTTCGTGGGTTATAAATTAAAAAATTATCGCACGAGAATAAAAAAAAATCAAAATTTCTTAAATAAAAAGGCATTACTAACCCGAAAATGTATCTAATTAACATTAAACGGTGGTGGGCATTTTGCCCATACTGCTGGGCGGCATCGCTCTCTTCAATAATTTATTATTGTCATGTATTAATTTACCGAGGTGCTATTGCCATCTTCGGCACTGAGACACTGCTCCCTACAGCAAGGTTAATGTGCGAGGTGAAACATACCTACAGATTCCTGATGTAATTATCCTGCCACCCATATAGCCACCCACATAGCTGGGTGGCATCGTACTCTGGTAACGCTAGGTGGTACGTGCTCATATCACTGGGTGCCATGGGGTTCCCTGCAATGAGAAGCCTCGGGGATACAAGAAAGCTTCCTGGCTTGAGAACCCTGGAAAAACCACTGTCATTGCAGGGCACTCTAACACGAAGGAAACAATGCACGTGTGCATCTGTCATTCCTGCTGCCTGAGAGCTTCGGTGATGACAGCAGCATCAGCACTGGACAGATGTGTCACGCCGTCGATCAAGTAATCTGTGAGGAGGTCTCCTTCTCGCTTCCAAGGCAGTCTCTGGCCAATGTCCACTGCGATTGAACACTGAACTCTTTTCCCACAGCCCTCATCAAAGAACGTGAGATCTGTTCTGAAAATAC